GTTATAAAAGGGTCAAACACAAAAGTAGTAGCAAAGTATTTTGTGCTTATTGTTGTCCATGGGGTTGTCATGAGTCAGAGCCCATTTAATGGAACTCTAGTAGCATAGTGACTAATGCACTTGACTGCTAACCAGGAGGCTGGCGGTTCAAACCTACCAGCCGCTCCTTGGAAGGAAGAGGGGCAATCTACTTCCATAGTGATACTGCCTCGGAAACCCAAGGAGGGGTCGCTATGAGTCGGGTCCAACTTGACAGCACACAACAACAACAACAACATATATATGTGAAGCCAACAATGGATCACAACCAAAATATGTCAGCCCTTCACAAAAGACTCGATATTGTCAGTGGACATCTGGAAAAGTTCTCAGCATCATTAATTTTCACTGATGCAAGTTATACCTACAAATGTGATAACATCACACCCCATTGGAGTGGATAAATAAAGAAAAAACTACCTATCATAAGTATTGGCAAAGAAGTGAAGTAACAGGCACTCTCAAAATAAAATCATAAATTGAGTCAGTCATTAGGACAATTATTTGGCACTATTTACTATAACGAAACACATTCAAAAGAGCTCTGGTGGCGTAGTGTCTAAGGCATCTGACTGCTAACCAGAAGGTTGGTGGTTCAAACCCACCAGCCACTCCACGAAAGGAAGACTGGTCAATCTAGTTCCATAAAGATTTACTGCCTCAGAAACCCAATAAGGGTCTCTATGAGTCAGAATTGACTCAAGGGCAGTGAGTTTTATTATTTTTTTAAACACACTCATATTCAGAAAGGTAGGTATGTAGTGAAGAGACATAAAATGTACTGGGATACCAAAATCACATGTATGGGAATGTTCATCACACCACTATTCTTAATAACCCCAAACTAGAAGCAACCCAAATGTCCACAACAATATAATGGAAAAACAAATTTTGAAATACTTATAAAATGCAAACTATACAGAAAACATAGCTTAACACTGCTATTTGCAACAACATGAATGGATCTCATAAGCATCATATAAGGGAAATCAGCTAGACACTAAAAACTATACAATGTCTGAGTCTACTTTTACGAAGTTTACAATCAAAGCAAATCTTTTGCATGGTATTGAATAAATCCAGGGAGAAAGTGAAGGTAGTATTGTTGTTGTTAGCCACCAGCAAATTGGTTTAGACTCATAGGGACCCTATGCACAAGAGAATGCAACCTGCCAGGCCCTGCACCATCCTCACAACCTTTGCTATGTTTCAGCCCATGGTTATAGTTGTAGACACTGTGTCAATCCATCTCATTGAGGGCCTTCCCCTTTTTCATTGATACTCTGCTTTACCAAGTATGATATCCTGATCCAGGAATTGGTCCCTTCTGACAACATGGCCAAAGTACTAGAGATAAAGTCTGGCCATTCTTGCTTCTAAGGAGCATTCCATCTGCATTTCTTCCAAGATAGAGTTCTTCATTTTTCTGGCAGTGTATGCTATTTTCAATATTCTTCACCAACACTACCATTCAAATGCATCAGTTCTTCTTTAGTATTCCTTATTTGTTGGCATTTGGAGTCCTGATAAATTTCTTTTTCTTAAGTCCTATGTTGATTCCAGAGATACGTTCAATTTGTGACAATTGAAGTATCACTTTAGGATATACGAAACTATGCATGCTATGCTTCAATGATAAAAGCTATTGAGAAAGGCATAGTTCTAAATCACAGCTTTGGCCCAGTTGAGATTTGCATTCCCTGTGTCTGTGAAGGGCTTCACTCTGCTGCCCTCCATCCTCCATTCGCACAGTGAAGAGAAATCTCTTCAACATGGGAAGTTGCTCAACTAAGAGTTGGGAAACACCAGGATTCTAAGATGCTTTGGTGACACTTCACTTCACTGAATCACTAATTCCTCATTCCTGAAAGTAAAGCAAGGATTGGAATAGTGGATTTGAGAGACATTCTGTCTTGTAAATATCTATGGTTACTTCAGTCTATAAAAAGGGAAAGGTTCAGACAGGAGCCTCAGCAGGAGACAGGAAAACAGAGCAGAGACACCCATCTCTCAGGAATAAAGTGATTGCTCTCAAGAAAACAATGGAGTTTATTTTAGCTACCAAGGCTGTGCAGAGCTTTTAAAGCTCAGAGATGCGTTAGCCAAATAGCTTCTCTTTTCAAGCATTCAGGGGTGCAGGGGGAGAGCTCACTGAAATATAAAAGGTTACAAAATCAAACTTTTCTGATCTCCTATTTCAGTTTACTGGTGCTTCAATTACTAACTGCAGTGTAGTAAATTACTTAGTGTGGCTTTTCTACCCATAAGTCTTTGTAAACTCCAAGGTGGGATTTTCTATGAGCAACTGAGGAGCTATCCACCTGGGTTATTTCTGTTGGGCGTGGCACAATACAATGTTCTGGGAGGTTCCCACTCTCTCACGTGCTTAGAGTTCTGATGCTGTGATTGGCTAGTTTGACCACCCTTCCGGGCTCAAAAGGAGGCCTCCTGGAGGCAGAACTCTCTCTAACTGCTGGTGGAGGAAGACGTGCTCCTGAAAGAGACACGCACCCCTGAAAGAGACACGTGCTGCTGGGAAAGAGATGCGAGAGACACGCATTGCTGAGTGAGACACTGAGGGACCAGCACTGCTGGGAAAAAGACTGTGAGAGACTGTTGGCTGAGGGACGTTGGGCTGGGAGAGAGACTGAGCGTTCTTCCTGAACTTGAGTTGTAGCCTGGTGCTTCCCTAATAAACCCCATAATCTGTGAGTTCTGTGTGGCCACTGCAGTGAATTATCGAACCCAGGAGAGAGGTGGTGGGTGCTTTGGGAGGAACGGTTGGAGAAAGGGCTGGAGGGAGGCAGCATGTCTGGCCTTGCAGTAATAGGCCTTGGGTTACTGCTGGTAATCCTGTCTTCCTCTTGTGGGATTAGAGGAGGTCAGAATATGTGGCCTCCTTGCCCTTTTTGCACTAACTCAATTATTGTTTATTTTGGAAGTCACTGATTATGATGAACCATGAAATATTGCATGGATACACACTCAGTAAATGTTGGTGACGCAGTTGGACTGAATGTTTTCCTTGGTGGGAAGCATGCAAGAGTCAAGGGAGATGAACTCCAGCCTCAGCTCTCTCTGCCACCTGCACACTGTGTGTCCTTATTCAAGGCATTGTGGGATATTTTTATACACACATCGTAGAATACATGGACTCCTCAAAGATATAAATTTCAGACTGATCATTAGTGTTAGGATGCAGTGTGCTGTACAATATTTTTGACTAAATCATTTACTTCAGTACTTTTTGATCATGATTGTACATTGAACCCATTTGGAATGTTTCATTTTTGAAAAAAAAAAAATTGCCAATACCTGGGCCCAACCCTGTTGTTTGTGTCATTGAGTTGACTGTGACTCATAGTAATGACCTTTGAGACAGGGTAGGACTGACCCATAAGTTTTCCTAGGCTAGAGGTTTTACAGGAGCAGATCACCATGTCATTTCCCTCATGGAGTGGCTGGTGGCTTTGAACCACTGACCTCTAAGTTATCAGCGGAGTGCTTAACCACTGTGCAACCAGGGATTGTTGGGCCCTGGCTTACATCGTTGTTGTTGTTGTTATATGCCGTTGAGTGGGACACAACTCATAGCAACCCCTCCTTGGGTTTCCGAGGCGGTATCACTATGGAAGTAGATTGCCCAGCCTTCCTTCTGGGGAGTGGCTGGTGGATTTGAACCTCCAGCCTTCTGGTTAGCAATCAAGTGCCTTAGGCACTACGCTACCAGAGCTCCTCCAGCTTACATCAGTAAAATCAAAATCTTCAGGTTGGGCCTTGGAAAGAAAGAAAAGATGAAATAAATAAATAAATAAATAAAAACCCATGCCGCTGCCATCAAGTCTATCCCACCTTGTTACCCCTTGTGCAGAGGGAACTGCTCCATAGGGTTTTCTTAGCTATGTTGTTGTTGTTGTTAGATGCTGTCGAGTCGGACCCGACTCACAGCGACCCCTCCTTGGGTTTCCGAGGCAGTGTCACTACGGAAGTAGATTGCCCATCTTCCTTCCGATGAGTGGCTGGTGGATTTGAACCGCCAGCCTTCTGGTTAGCAGTGAAGTGCCTTAGCCACTATGCTACCAGAGCTGTGATGGCCGAGTGGTTAAGGCGTTGGACTCGAAATCCAATGGGGTCTCCCCGCACAGGTTCGAATCCTGCTCACAGCGTCCGTACTTTCTTAGCTATAATCTTTTTAAAAAAATTTTTACTGTGATTTGGGTGAAAGTTGACAGAGCAAATTCACCTTCCATACAGCAGTTCACACATACTTTGTCTTATGACATTGACTGCAATCTCCCACAATGCAACAGCTCCCCTCCCACTTCCTCCCCATAGCCACCCCTTCCCTGTGTCCTTCCCTCCCATGCACCCCTGCCCCCAAGCTGTCTCCCCGTGCATACATAGCCCTTCTATTCTCCCATGACTGGTCTCTCCAAGGAGTGTATCTGCCTAATGTAAACGTTTGGCTCATAAGCCTGTCTTTTGTTTGGCTGAAATTGGCTATAATCTTTACAGAAGGATCCCTGGTGGCCCAATGGTTAAGTGATTGTCCACTAACTGAAAGGTCTGTGGTTCAAATCCACACAGCAGTTCCATGGGAGAAAAACTTGAAGATCTGTTCCCTCAAAGAAGGGGCAGTTCTACTCTGAGAGTCAAAATCAAGTGCATAGCCCACAATAAGAATCAAGAAGCAGGTCACCTGACCTTTCTCCTGTGCAGTTGCTGGGTTCCAAGAGGCAAACTTGAGGGCAGCAGAATGTAAAATGTTTGAGTCAATCAGATTTCTAGGACAAGATTAAGTTCCAATTTATCAATGAGCCAAAGTCCATTCAGAAAAGATTACAGCAAGTTGACCTGATTGCTCAATGTATTCACCAAAATTGCAAGTTAAGTAGCAGAAAATATTACACATACTTTGTCTTGAAAGCCCACAGTTGCCTGAGTGAGACGAGGAGGCTTCAATGGATCCAGTCCTGGTGTTCCTGCTCTCTTTCTCTCTCTTCCTTCTCTTTTCACTCTGGGCACAGAGCTGTGGGAAAGGGAAGCTTCCGCCTGGCCCCACTCCTCTCCCAATTATTGGAAATATCCTACAGTTCAACGTGAAGAATACCTACCAATCCTTCTGCAAAGTAAGTATGCCTTATGCTCTCCCAGTGGCTTGCAGAGGGTAAATAAAATAACCTCTACTTTTAAATATAAGGTATTTCTCAAACCAAAACCAAACTCACTTCCCTCAGGTCAATTCCAACTTCCAGCAGCTTCCATTGGGTTCCCAAGGCTGTAAACCTTTATGTCTTTCTTTTGCAGGGCAGCTAGTAGGTTCAGACCATTGACCTTGGTGGCATAGTAGTTAAAAGATTCGGCTGCTAACCAGAAGGTCAGCAGTTGGAACTCCCTAGCCACTCTGGGAGAGAAAGATGAGGCAGTAAGCTTGCATAAAGATTTACAGCCTTGAAAACTCTATGAAGACAGTTCTACTCTGTCTTAAAAGGTCTTTATGAGTCAGAATCGATTTCATGGCAGTGGTTTCAACTATTAGCTGAGAGACCCTGGAAATGAAATTTCAACTCTCTGAACCTCAGTTTGTTTAATTATATATGTAAAGGTCATGAGTGGCACAAACAGTTTGCGGTGGACTACTACCTAAAGAATGGAGGTTTGAGACCACCCAGGAAGACTGCAGGGGAAAAAAAGTTTAATGATCTGCTGCTGTAAAATCTTATAGCCAAGAAAACCCTGTGGAACATTCTAGCATATCCCTTTTTATTGAGCTTGGATCATAGTTGTAGTTTTTGCAATGAAATGCTTGTGGCAACTCTGTCTTTAGGAAGTCCATCAGTGCCGTTTTTCCAACAGTGTGTGCTCACTTTCTGTCTTTGTGTTACATTATTCAAACTTTTTCATTATGTTATCGCACACTTAATAGACCACAATAGTGTAAACATAACTCTTATATGCCCTGGGAAACCAAAGGAATCCTGTGACTCAGTTTATTTGATATTTGCTTTATTGAAATGGTCTGGAATCAAAATCACAATTCTCGGAGGTATGCCTGCACCCTGTAACCATGGGGCTGCCGTTGTTCGGAATCCACCGAACAGCAAAGGGTTTGGTTTTGGGTATCAGTTAAACTGCTATGGGTGTTGATGTAAGGATTGGCTGTAACCATGTCTGGATCCAAGTGTCTTGTCCATTGTCTGATGCATCAGAGGCCTTCCAACACATGAGAGCTATGTTATTACCACATAATGTTTCTGAATAACATTCACAAATATTTGAAGCTACATGTTGGAGGATAAAAACATCAAAATATGATGACAATATCAGTCTGAATCATGCACAGAACATAGAACGAATAGTGACTTCTTTTGGTGATATTTGCACCTGCTTTCTTTTTCCCAGTTCTCAAAAACCTATGGCCCCGTGTTCACTCTGTATTTTGGCATGAAGCCCATAGTGGTGTTGCATGGGTATGAAGCAGTGAAGGAAGCCCTGGTTGATCTGGGAGAGGAATTTTCTGGAAGAGGCGCCCATGCAGTGCTTGACAAAATTAATAAAGGTCACGGTAGGTAATGAGAGTACTTGCCTTTGGGCAGTGGTAGTGGTGAGTGAGGGGGACTAGAGATAGAAGAGCTGCTCAGGTCGAATTCGGCCCATCTGCAGAAATGGCTGCCTAGTCAGGGTCTTCTTGCTTGCCGAGGCTCTCCCTCCTAGTTTCTGTTCTCCCGCCTGTAGGAGTCGTTTTCAGCAACGGAAATACTTGGAAGGAAATGAGACGCTTCTCTGTCACAATCCTGCGGAAATTCGGGATGGGCAGGAGGAGCATTGAAGACCGTATTCGGGAGGAAGCCTGCCGCCTAGTGGACGAACTGAGAAAAACCAAGGGTGGGTGGTTACTCTTTTCTCACTGACCCTAACGGACCTCTCTCTCTTCTCTGGTGGGGTCCTTGGAAATATTTTATCGGGTGGCCAAGTTTTTCCTTATGGGTAGTGGGGAGAGTGGGTGAAGGAGAAAACAATGAAGTGTTTGTGTGTTTGTAGCTGTGTATGTGCACGAATGATAGTGTACACCAAAATCAAACTGAAACCACTGTCATGGAATGTATGCTGACTCAAAGGGATGCTATATGACACAGTAGAACTGACCCCATAGGATGTCCAAGGCTGTAAATCTTTACAGAAACAGACTGCCTCATCTTTGTACCGTGGAGTGGCTGGTGGGTTCGAACAGCTGAACTTTTGGTTACCAGCTAAATGCTTTAATCTGTGCACCACCGGAGTTCCTGATAGTGTACCTGTGTGGGTAAAAGGGCCTTCTTTAAAACCTATTGTTCCAGACCTTGTTTCCAAATGAGAAAATCGTGAAGATACAAGATTTTCAGTCTCATTTTCTCAGCACTGAAAAGCAGTGTTTTTGCCTGAGTATTTTAGAACATTTTTTTCAGTGAGACACTTGTCAAGGGGAGGCTGTGGGAATGACCTAATCACAGCCCTATGGAGCATGCAGCAAGCGTCCTTTGCTTTCATGTCACCAGACTCTGGATTTTCAGTCTCACTGACATGTCTGTTTCTGCCAAGGCCCAGCCTCCAATTCTAACCGGCAAAATGCTCAGTTATAGTTTTTGTTGCCCAGACATCTCTCAGCGAGCCCTGGAGGCACTGTGGTTAAAGAGCTCGACTGCTAACTGAAAGGTGGCTACCAGCCACTCTGTAGGAGAAAGATGTGGCAGTTTGTTTCCATAAAGATTTACATCCTTTGAAAACCTACGGGGCAGTTTTACCCCATCCTGAAGGTCTCTATGAGTCAAATTCCCTCCACAACAGTAGGTTTGGTGTAGGTATCTTTTAGTGCAACTCTCATTAATTGTGGTTTTTCTGAAAACACAGAACTATTTGTAAATGATCAGTAGGAATGACTTAATGTTATTCACTACTAACTGTACTCATCTATATATTTAAGAAAATCTGACCCAACACAATTCTACAAAATACACAAACACTAGTTTATAAAATTGTTTATCTACTTTTGGACTATTATTAACAACTCTTTTCTTTGTCTCCTCCATTGATAAGTTGGTTGTGGTTTTGTTTTTGTTTTCCTGTCCATCTACTTCTTCCCCATAATTGGATTTTGGGTTAGAACATTTATGTTATTTGTTTACCTCTCACTGGCAGCTCTACTTCAAATATCTGAATTTACCGGTAAACACTCTCTTGAATCTTTCTCTCTCCTGGTTCGACATATGGCTTCTTTAACTATTCATTACATATGAAACGTTTCAAGGTCCCTAACTCTTCTCTCCCTTCCTTTATCAATGCTTAATTGTCCACAGGCTTTGCAGACAAATGTGATTCTGTGCTTAGAAATTATTAGGTATATCTCAAGTCATCTCTTTAGGTTTTTTTTTTTCCCTTTTTGCCACCAAAAATAACAGACAATGTGATGTAAAATATTGTAAATAAAGGCAGAGAATGTCAATGAAGTTTTGGGAAAACCATTATTAAACCAGCTAAAATTGAATGGTCAATTCATACAATGGTCAGTTTTAAGCTTTGATTCTATTTCCGAGGCTGCTTGGTAGAGGCAGAAGTAAGAAGCAAAATGTGACATGTGGATTTTAGACTTGTGGAATGTTTTGCTGACAAGGGAATGTCTAAGCAGATAGTACTTTAAAGTTTCTTAAGTTACTTTTAAGAAGGGAGGGGAGGGGATGCTGCAAAGTTTAAAAAAATAAAAGAATGTTATATTTACTCATTATTTCAATGATAGAGAATTTTATCTGTATATTTTAATAGTATTTTCCAATGTTTCCATTTCTTTAGGCACTCCCTGCGATCCCACTTTCATTCTGAAATGTGCTTCCTGCAATGTGATCAGCTCCATAATTTTCAAGACTCATTTTGATTATGCGGATCAGACTTTCCTTAAGTGGATGGAAAAAAAAGATGAAAATACCAAGATTCTGTGCTCCTCATGGATCCAGGTGAAGCCAAGAACAATTCTTACTGAAAAATCTTAGTGAAAATTCTATATCGACCAAGCTGTGAAGTGCATGTTTGAATACAAAAGTCCTACCCAGAGCTTAGCATCATGGAGTGAACACCTGGGAAATATAGCCAAGCCCTTTATTTTTACAGAAGAAAAAGAATACTCAGGATATCAAGTTCTATTCAAGTTTACTGATTGTCTGTCTAATGCGTTATCACTAAACCCTATAGCCCAGTTTCCATAAAGTACTTTGAGGACTGCCCCAAAGCATGCCTGTTGTACTCAGTGGAGACCCTAGGCCCTGTTGAAAGGCTTCCATTACTTATGAGGCTTGTTCAACATTCAATACTCATTTATCAAACTTGGCAGAAACATTCTAGTTTAGGATGTCAAGGAGGTGGAATGTTTAGGACCACACATGTTACCAGGAAACACTGACTAATATAAGGTTCGTGCAGGGTTCAGCTGGATCCCAGATGGAAAAATGATTGGGATTTACAGTGTATGATCCATAGTTATCACAATTTTACCCAGGGTGGAGCTGGCATGACCTGCACTCACCAAAATGATGACTGTGAGATCTTAGAGAAGTCACTTGGCTACTCTGGTACACAGATTCTTTATCTACTAAATGCTGAGTTGAGTTTCATGGTATTCTTAAGCCCCTTTCAATTCTAAAATCTCATTTCTATGCCTGAGTCTGCTTGACCAAGGCAGAAGCAGCCACAACTAGCTTCACACTCTATATATAGTTGGCCAAACTCCCTTTACCTCCTCAGTCCTCATCTACAAAATGTGAATCATAATAAGTCATGGCATCCTGTATTTCAAGGTTGTAGAAAAATATTGACACAAAATATAAGAGGATTGATGCTTTTAGACTACGGGCATAGTGTGTGAGTTTTGGAAATGATCAACAACTTTGATCACTTTGTCAGTTTTCTTATTCATATCTTTCTATGAGCACAGAGAATACCTAATATGTGCAACAAGAAGCTTTCCCAACAGATGGAGATCATTTTCTATTAATCAGATGGAGACTAGTTTCTAACCAGAGAAGGCATATGCTATGTGTATCTTCATCAAACAGTTGTATTTAACACATGACTTTTTCCTCTTAGGTCTGCAACTCTTTCCCCATGCTCATAGATTATATCCCAGGGTGTCATAACACATTCATTAAAAATGCTGCTGAGGAAAATGCACTTATTTTGGAGAAAATAAAAGAACACCAAGAATCCTTGGATATTAATAATCCTCGGGACTTTATTGATTGCTTCCTGATCAAAATGGAACAGGTAAAATGTTAGCAGCACGTCAGTAATTGGTTTGCTTGTCTGTTTTATGAATATCTCTGTACTCACTAGGGACCTTTAACTGGTCAGTGCTTGACTGCTTGACAAGCACGTTGAGTACCTCTGGGTGCTTGCATCATGCAAGACTTGAAAATTGAATTGTTCGATAGAGTGAAACATTAGAGTATATGTAAATAATGAAATGAATTGCTCTTTAATTACTAACCATCTACTTGAGGAGAAACAGAATGCACTCCTGAGTTGAAATGGAAACAATTACAAACAAGTTAGAAAATCTAAAATGTCATGTTATCAAATGAAGATGGAAATGATCATTGCACACAGTGATGGGAGAGTGAGAAGGAATATTTGTAATGAGAGATGAGAGCGGGCATTTCAGATGGATTGAATGGTGAATGCAGAGGATCAGAAGTGTGTGATTGCAAAAGGACCAGGTAGATGGGAAAGAGAATCCTTCATTGAGTGTAACCAAAAATGAATTTGGACAGATAAGGGGTTGGATTTTGGTGGTGGTCAGGTAATCTGTAAATGTGAATGTTGTCATGGAAACTTTTGGTTGGTCAGCTAGATGTATGAGTGAGAATAAGAATGGAACATAGATAATTGTTAGGGAAATTATCCTCAGAGTTGTGTAAATGATCCCTATGGTGAGAAGGAACATCAAGACCTTCTGGAAGATGGTTCAATTTTCAATTTTTTAGACTTAGGTTTCATGAGAGTCTTGACCTTGGAAATGCAAAGGAGTGTAAAATTCAAAGTTGTCCATCCTGTCATAGTCTCAGACATCTGTATATATTCAATGTAATTGAAAAGGGATGTTGGAAACCAATTATAGGGGCTTGTGTGGAAAATGATAGTAATGAGACCAGATGTCGTATTTGACAAGTTTAACCAAGGAGGGAAAGATGTGGCTGGTGCATTTGAATAGTGGAAGGTTAGGTTGAAAATCTGTGTGGGAATGGCAAACAAGATGGCCTAAGATTACACCTGTGTAAATACAAGATTCCTGCTGAACTGGGGGGAAGTAGACTCCAGAACCCAATGAATAGAGCTAAACCTACAGAAGGAAATTCCTTCTTCTGGGACCATCATTATTTTATTTAGCCCCTTTGCTGCACTGAGCACAAAAGAGAAATCACTTAGTACAAATGGGAAGGAGTCAAAATGCTGAAGGAAATGACATTCAAAGAATTATCCATGGTATCTGAGTTGACCCATTGCAATCATATATAACAGATGCGTTGTAGTGAAGATGATGTAATGGTTTTAAGAAGCTGGAAGAGGGAAGTCTTGAATTATTTCCTCTGTCACCTTCTTTGCTGCTGGGGCAATGATTCTTATCCTTCCTGGTCCACTTGTTTTGAGAATCAAATTAAAGGTGTGGACATTTTCTCGAAAGTGTCCATATCATTTGTACCTACATTAGTTGCACCAATATACCTACATGAGTTCTTGGTATTTTTTTTTCACATTTACAGGGAATTCCTTAATGCTTTGAAGCCTCTCCAGTTATCCCAGGTTGGTGTCATGGGGTGGAGGGAGGGGAGGCTTCAAATTCTCTGCTAACTCAATTACAAAGTTGCCATGAGTCTCACCACTCAGCAGCAAGTAAAAACAACAAAAGTTTCCTCTACATTATATTTGAAAACATCAGCGTTTTTCCGGACCTCACTGTCGTGTTTAATGTCTAGATTAATTTCTTTAATGCCAACATTGAGAAATAATTTGTATACCATACAATTCATCCATTTATAGTATACTATTCAAAGGTTTTTAGTTTATTCAGAGTTGTGTAACCATAGCCACGATCAATTTCAGAATATTTTCATCATCCTGAAGGAAATCCTATACCCTTTAGGAGTTATCTTCCATTTTCCTACCACTATTATTATTATTACTATTATTATATTATTAATAATATTGTTGCTGTTGTTAGTTGCCATAGAGTTGTCTCTGATTCATAGTGATACAACAGTTCAAAACACGCTTGTTAATGACTCTTCCTTCAATCTGGATGCCATATTCTTCTTCATATGGTCCAGCCTCTTGGATTATTTTCTCAGCATGCAGATTGAATTAAGTATGGTGAAAGGATACAACCCTGACACATACCATTCTGATTTTAAATCCTTTTGTTCTGCAACAATAACATGACATCATTGATGTACATATTGCATAATTACATTTTTATGAGATGTCCATAACAGGCAAATCTAAATGAACAGAAAATCAATTATTGATTTTTCTAGGGTTAGGAAGGTTAGGTAGGAAAGTAGATGATAATTCCTAAAGGGTATGGGATTTCTTGTTCTGAATGACAATTTCCTGGTCTAAGTACAGCTTCCTTATAAGCACAATTCTTTGCAATATTATTCATAATTCATTGTGATCTACACAGTCAAATGCATTTGCAAAGTCAATAAAACACAGGTAAACATCTTTCTGGTATTCTTTGCTTTCAGCCAAGATCCATCTGATATCAGCAATGATATCCCTTGTTCCATGTCTTCTTCTAAATCCAGCTTGAATTTTTGGAAGTTCCCTGTGCATATACTGCTCTAACCATTTTTGAATTATCTTTAGCAAAATTTTACTTGTGTGTGATATGGCATATGATATTGTTTGATAATTTCCAATTCTGTTGAATCACCTTTCTTTGGAATGGGTGCAAATATGAATCTATTCCAGTTAGTTGTCCAGGTAGCTGTCTCCCAAATTTCTCGGCATACGTGAATTAACACATGCAGCGTCCCATCCATTAGCTGAAATACCACAATGGGCATTCCATCAATTCCTAAACAAACAAACAAAAAACCCACTGCCGTTGAGTTGATTCTGACTCACAGCGACCCCCATTGGGTTTCCAAGCATGTAAATCCTTACAGAAGTAGAGTGCTCTGTCTTCCTTCCATGGAGCAGCTGTGGGTTTGAACCATCATCTTTCTGGTTAGCAGTCATAAGCACTGCGCCACCAGAGCTCCTTCCATCAATCCCCAGAGCCTTGATTTTTGCCAATTCGTTCAGTGTAGCTTAGACTTCTTCCTTCATTACCATTGGTATTGATCATATCTGTCTCCTGAAATGGTTGAAGGTCAACCAGTTCTTTTCAGTGGTTTTATATTTCTTCAATCTTTTTTTGATGCTTCCTGCATTGTTCAATATTTTGCCAATAGAATCCTTCAGTATTGCAACTTGAGTCTTTAATTTTTTTTCTTCAGTTCTTCCACCTTCAGAAATGTTAAGCGTGCTTTTCCCTTTTGGTCTTCTAATTCCAGATCTCTGCACATTGCATTGTAATATTTTGCTTTGTCTTCTCGATTCATCCTTTCAAAATCTTCTGTTCATGTTTTTTATTTCATCATTACTTCCATTTGCTTTAGCTACTCTTCTTTCTAGAGCAACTTTCAGAGTCTGTTCAGACATTCATTTTGGTCTTTTCTTCCTTTCCTGGCTTTTTAATGACCTTTTGCTTTCTTCGTGTATGATGTTCTTGATGTCATCCCAAACTCTTCTGGTCTTCAGTTGTTCGTGTTCAGTGTGCTAAATCAATTCTTCTGATGGTCTCTAAATTCAAGATATAATCAAGGTCATATTTTGGCTCTTGTAGACTTGTTTTAATTTTCTTCAGCTTCAACTTGAACTTACATATGAGCAATTGGTGATCTGTTCCACAGTCACCTCCTGGCCTTGTTATGATTGTTGACATTAAGGTTCTCCACTACCTCCTTCCACAGATATAGTCAATTTGATTCATGTGTATTCCATCTGGCAAGGTCCACGTATATAGCCGTAGTTCATGTTGTTTGAAGAAGGTATTTGCAATGAATAAGCCAAAGGCTTGCAAAATTTGAAATTCTATTTTGCAAAATTCTTCATGCAATCTACAGTGTCATTTCTAGCACCAAGAGCATATTTTCAATGACCAGTGCTTCTTCTTTGTTTCCAACTTTTGCATTCCGGTCACTAGTAATTATCAATACATTTTTATTGCACATTTGTTCAATTTCAGACTGCAGAAGTTGGTAAAATACTTCAGATTTCTTCATCTTTCATTTTAGTGGTTGGTGTGTAAATCAGAATAGCAGTAGTATTAAGTGGTCTTCCTTGTAGGTATATGGATATTATCCTATCACTGACAGCGTTGTACTTCAGTATAGATCTTGAAATGTTCTTTTTGACGATGATTATAATGCCATTCCTCTTCACTTTTGCATTCGTGACATGGTAGACCATATGTTTGTCTGATTAAAAATGGTCAATACCAGTCCATTTCAGCTCACTAATGCCTAGAATCACCTTTGTGTGTTACATTTAATTTTTAGCAACTTCCAATTTTCCTTTGTACATTCCACTTTCTTATTATTAATGAATTATGCAGCTGTTTCTTCTCATTTTGAGTTATGTCCATCAGTAAATGAAGATCCTGAAAGCTTTTCTCCATCTACATCACTAATGTCCACTCTACTCAGAAAAGACAGCCCTTCCACAGTCATAGTCTGAGTGCCTTCTGACCCGAGGGGCTCATCTTCCTGCACTATATCAGACTAGGTTTCACTACTGTTCATAAAGTTTTCCAGTAATTTATCAGACAGTGTCTAACTGCTATTCATATGGTTTTCAGTGATCAATTTTTTCAGAAGTGGATGGCTCCTCCTTCTTCTCAGTCTGTCTTAGACTAGAAGCTCTGCTGAAACCTTTCCACCTGGGTGACCTGGTTGGTATTTGAAATACTGGTGCCATAGCTTCCAGCCTCACAGCAACATGCAAGCCACCACAGTGTGACAAACTGACAAATGAGTAGTGGAATGTTGTAACATGTATCAGTACTTCATTGCTTTAGGTGAATGAATAATAGTCCATTATATGGTATACCAAAGGAGCTCTGGTGGTATAGTGCTTAAGGCATTTGACTGCTAACCAGAAAGTTGTCAGTTCAAACCCACCAGCCACTCCATGGAAGGAAGACTGGGGAATCTACTTCC